GTACCTATACCAGATTTGTTTGAAAAAACAATATTAGGATAAATTTAAAAAAATAAATCATTTAAATCGTTCAAATCTAATAAGACTGGACATTAAGTATATCTATACAATCATTCTGTCTATTGTTACATTTCTCTAATGATGCTTACTAATTTTTTTTTWCAGCATCTACTTTAATGGTTTAATACGGTTTAATGTTTAATCCTATACGGCTATACCTAACTAATGAGGCAACAACAATTATTCCATTACGCAGTGACTTTTTATAGACTTTTCCAGCCCCCTCCCAAAAAAAAAAAAAAAATTTCCTATTAAATGATTTATTTGAATTAAAATTGATTGTTTTATTTATTTGAACTTAATTGTTATTATTCATTGTATATTATAATCTTCTATGTAAATATAAATTTATTTTTCTATAAATAAATAAACTGTAACTCATTTAAATATTGTAATTATTATTTCAGGCAAAGCTGCCCGAGGAAAATGGAAAAACTTAAAAGACCATTTTCGTAAAGAGTACAAAAGATGTATGACTAACATGGAAAGTGACCAAGAAATGTCTAGATGGCCATATTTCCATTCAATGATGTTTATCAAAGATCAGATCTCGCACACCGCCACAAATTCAGTATACCTGACGGACTTACAATATCAAAACATATATCCAGAAGTAGAATTGAAAGAAGAATTGTTGGATGACACAAATCCCTTGAACTGTCTTAACATTGAGTATGACAATCAAAATTTAGTTGAAGTGAAATCAGATTATTCGAATCAAGACGAAAATATTTCTGACGACAAACATTTTTTATTGAGTCTTTTACCAATGTTATCCGCACTTCCGATGGATAAGAAACTCACAGCTCGGATAGCCATCGAAACGTCGTTGCTCAACATTGCTTACCCAGATCTGAATACAGTGGACAATTTACACACTGAACAAAAGGGTACTATTCGAAAAAATTCAACCAAGACTGAAAAAAGAAAAAGAATAACTGAGGATGAGTGCCATCCCAAAAAGCGTTCGGTAAACGTCAAAACAATTTGTTGATATTCATTAAGTACCTATATTTTATTGTAAATAAAAATTATATTATATGATTTTCTTTTATTATATATATATATATATGAATTTTTTTTTGTTAAGTATTTGGACCATAATTTAAACAAGTGACAGTTTTTGTTCATTTAATTTTATATAAATATTTTAACAACGGAAATTGTATGATTTGAGTATAATATATTGACAATAATGAAACCGATGGGTTAATTACCTATATATATATATATATATATACGCACTAAAAATTAAAATCATAGAGCGGAACACCTTTTGGTCGACATAAACGTGCTTCTCTATAAAACAAATGATTATTATGATCGTGCTAGTTCCTCATTGTATTGGTTATAAATAGTTTATGATGTTAAATATAATTTATTATATGACGTATATTGATTATTTTTTATATGTATCAAGGTATGTACTGAATTTGGTAGAAATAACTAAAAAATTATACCTACCCTAATTTAATATATTTTGAATTTTGTTTGAATTAAATAAAATAAATTATATAATTATCGTTATTGTTAGTAATTAATAATTATAAACCAAGACTCTAAATAGTAAAATAAAATTTATTATACATGGTGTAATAGTTATTGTTTAAATTGTTTGGCACTTATATTTATAATTACCCCCTATTTCAGCATATATGTGTTATCAATCCAGGATTAATATATCTGGTAGCCTAAATGCAGATGAGCAGATGGTTGGTTGTTGGTCCCTATGAATAGAGCAAAACATACAGACATGTTCTTATTCCTCTTTGAATACCATACTATTGGGTGCATTAGCGTACACAAAACTTTACATTAATTAGTATAAAAAAAATAACTGTTGGAAGGATATCAGAGTGGATGTCAATTTTCTAAACAAATGTTTGATAAAATAATAACATTTGAAAGTTAAAATTTTCATAAATATAAAGTATGATAACAATATTAAATAACTATCTAGATTCTAGGTATACATTTGTATTTAATTTGTATTTATTGATTAAATATTAACAATTATATTATAAATTAATTAAGAAATATCTTATGACCTAATTTAGTGTTATATTTTTCCCCATTTGGTGTTTATGAAATATGTATATATGAAACATTTTGAAAAATCCTGTAATTTTTGGAAGATTTAAAACAAAAATATTCATCTTTTTTTCTTTTTTTCATTCTCTTCTATATATGTTAATTTTGATTGTTTAAAAATGTATATTAATTTATAGTTTATTATAGTTCATATTAATTTTTTAATTTTTCAATATATTTAAAAACTTGTTTACCTATACTCATTTATGTGTATCAAATGGCCTAAATTATGTCAATTATAAAAATAATCGATATAATAACATAGGTAATATTGTTATCGCCAGCGTTTATCATTTTCAAAGAAGAAAAATAGTATGAATAATATAAATAAAAAAAACTATAGTCGTGAAAACGATATGCTAAATGCATAGTATATCGTATAAATGTATAATATACAATACTTATATGTTATGTTATATAGGTACTCTATACTGACTATACTGGTAATCTTTACGTACCTGCATTTTCACACACGAATATAATAAATAATTATATTATTTTTCCTTTGTTTATCAATAAATGTAATATTTTCACTATAAAAAGTATATAGGCGCAAATGACTACTTAATAACATTTTCAAGCTGACGATAACACGAACCCTTTACATTAGTGGGCCTCGAAGACGTGCTCACTGCCCTACCTCCTTATATAATCCTGACTTGTATTATTACATTTTAATAGTTTGGCATTTTACGCATCTTTCTCTTTTGTTCTCGTTAAAGAAAATGACGTTTAGTCGTAAATGCTTAGATAATTTAATATTATTTGGCATGTTTTCATCGCCACGATTGAATGACATGCAAAGTTTTAACGACCAGTGCAGCGACTGAGTTTTAGTGACGTTCAATAAAATCTTTACTATTATTATTATTATTTTTTTTTTTATTATTACTATTTTCCCTTTTTTATTATCGATGTTTTCGGGCTCACAGCGACTAAAAGGCTGCGTCGTTAACGGCACATTAAAATGGAAAACCCATCGCGGGGGGATTTGCTGCCGGGGTATTTTTCGATGGCCTTTTTTTCTCTTTTTCCACGAAATGCGCCCTCGACACTCGCATTCTTATCGTTCCAAACTCTGAGTGCGCATCCGACCGGCAACCAATTACACATAGACGTCGTATTATATTATTATAATAATAATATGTACTGCAGCGTAGCTCTATATCGGCGGTTCGATCTGCAGCTGCTTGGCCCCGGCGATGAGCTAGGCAAACGGGCTTTTGTTATCGGCGATTGTCTCCTGAGACCCGTAAAACTGCTGCAGCACGTCCTCCGCGGCGACATATTACGTATTTATGTCGTACGAGTACTTATAATATACTTGCCCAGTAGAAAACGGTTTCGTTCGGGGGCCGAGTCCATCGTCGTGCCCATGTTTTGATTAACTCCAGTCTCCGCATCCGTCAATGCAGCGCATTACATGATATAAAATAAACAAAAACCAATTTCGTATAAATCACGAGGGTCCGGCCCCTTCCCTGCAATGACGTCTCTCGTAAGTAGTATCTAATTATACACCGGACCGCCGCGGTGCGTGCGAAGCTTTTACATGGTGAGAGTAGATTAGCCGCAACATCGTATATAGTCGGCGTAGGTGACTACARTATAATATATCATTGACATTTGTGTTGCAGCTACGGCTCTACGAGTTCGATCATAGGCATATGTACTTACGATAATTATTTGTATAGAAGGTACTTAATGCGATTTCTACACTTGCATTCACGACGATGGCGTACGAAGCAGTAAGCACAACCTAAATAAGGGTTACCGTATCTAGAGATTCAGAGCTGCAGTTCAGATTGAACACAGCGATAATACAGACGTAATGTACCATTTCGGTGCATAATATTGAACTGCATATCATAAAAAAAAAAAAAACGTAGTATGACACGTATACTATATTACAACAGGTGCCTATTTTTTTAGATGCTATACGAAATGCTAAATGATCCAATACAATAATAATATTTGTATATGATATTGACTTCGCCTCGTAGTATAATAATGTTATTTTCTAATCCAATATTTGAATTATCTAACACTGTTAAAATAAAAAATATTTATATTTATAATAGTCTCATTATTTATAGCTACGAATAATCGAGCACATAATATAACGATGGCCAGCTGCAATGTACCTACTACACACATTTACTGTTAACATAATATTATTATACATAATCAATAATAATACCTTAATTATTATTTCTTACATACTGTCAAGTCAAAAGAAATGACAATATATTTTCAACTGTCTGTTTAAATCGTGTATTCATTAATTGTTTGTAGTATTATTACTAAGACAGAGTAATTTTAATGGTAAAAGTATAAACAATTGTATAATAAAAAAGAAAAACCAAATTTTGTATTTTACGACTTATTTAAGGTATACGTCATAATATTGATTCATACAATCATATACTTACCTGCTAAACATTTTAACGGTATCACAATCAAATAATATTTTTATAAAGTTACCTACATATGTTTATAAAAATAGCTCAACCTATTTATTTTATAAATAAATATAAAGAAATATCTATAAACGTAATTTGAATTTAAAAAATAAATATATTTCAATAAAAATCACTGCAGATTGAAAATAAGAAACAATTTAATCAATTTTATGAGATACCAAACAATTTATTATAGGTATTAGGCACATAATGTGGTCACCATCTTTGTCATAGTATCTTAGTGACCACGATAAAATTATGCACTTTAATTATTTCGTGGTGTATCATATTAATCTATCAATTTAACCACTGACTTTTAACCACTTATTTTTCATCTATCTCAGCCTATCAATATATAGTGACCATCTTTTGTCCTCCTTGAACACTACCAACATCCTTTTGGATACTATAAATATAGGTATTTTAAAAACGACAAAGAACATTGTACCTTATCTTACTTTAACCATACAGGCTTTTTAGTTTAATTATTTATTGTTGTCGTTTTTTATTTTTCTTGTAAGTAACCTCTATATTATATTAACCTTTTAATTATTGAAACTAATCTTAACCACAAAGTTTAAAAAAAAACAACATCGACTGATTTATATCTATTTATATATATATGGAGAGTTTCATAAAAAACGAAGTTTTAATGTTGCTACAAATCAATTTTATTTTATAAGAAATACATTATTAATGATACATATTGTTTCAATATTAGTTGAGACTTTTAAGTGTGAAATGTGATATCGTGCATATGGCCCTCTCTAGAGTCGTTGATAACAGCGAAACATCGAAAAATAGAAATTTGGGCTCGTTTTTGGGCGCCCGGGAGTTTTAATATTCGAAATTGATCCTGTCTCTTTGAATTTACTGACCAGCCTCATTATTGTTGATGCGGTCATCGCTTCATAATTTTTGAGGATTGTACAAAGTTTTCTATAACAGTTACAGCAACACATTCGCCATGTATATAACGGGTTTTAATAAACAAAACATGTTGCTCGTTGCTCGATTGTATACCGTTCCATGACCACAAATAAATAAAATACAGAATAAATTGAGTATTCACCAAAATCTTAAACAACCAAAAATAACAGAAATTACAAGAACAATGCCACATTCTTAACAATAACAAATTAGTCAGAGTTTCAAAAACTGCGTTCTTTATGAAACACCCTATATATATATATATATATATATATATATATTGTATACAAATTTATTTAAGATAGGTAATCAAATTATTACACATTGTAGGTAGGTGTATATATTATATATAAATTATGATGTGATCATCATTAGCACTCGATTATCTCGGACACTGAAAATATTTTATCTGAGTTTTATTCACATAATTTTAGGTTCGGTTAATGTTCCAAGTTCTCTTGAATTTTTTCGGGTAGGTGATTCAAAAAAAAAGAAACAAGGAATCTTGAAATAATATTACTCTACGAATAATACAACGTTTGCTCAAGGGTCAGCTGGTATACTTTAATATTATACTACCTTGCTTATAAACTCWATATTATGTTATTCTATTACTACATATGACTATATGAGCCTATGGATCAAATTTCGTATGTGACATCACCATAACGTCCATAAGGCATTAGTATTTCCGTCGGCAAAACGTTGTAAACAACAGAAAATGCCACGGTTGCGTTTTGGTTTTTCCAACTTCGACATCCTTTCTTCGTGTGTGCTTTAAAACACATATGTATATGTAGGCACCTATGTACAGTTCATGGGAGAATAGCAGCACAGACATAGTCACCCGGTCTTAGTGTTTTGCTCAAATCCGTTATTATTGTTGTGGTTATATTATTATTATTATTATTATTATTATTGTATTAATGAAGAGGTGTATAATTATCGTAATAATTGTTGCATCGTTCTTTGTCCATGGGAAGTGA